CGCCTCCATGGCAACGGCCGCGCCCCCGGGCCAGGCCGCTGAGATGAAGAGGCACGAGAGCGGCTGAGCTACTCTCCTCACCGGCATCGTGGCTCCCTCCCGTGCCCGGCGGACGTCCCCGCTCAGGGTGCAGTCCAACGACGCCGGGTTCGCGGGAGACGCTGGCCAAAGATAACTGAGAAACCGCCTTGCCGCTCTCGAGACTGCGGCTCTTCGGGACGAGAGGGCGCTGTGCGCAGGCGCACTCCGAGCTCGCCCCGCCCCATCCCCGGGCCTCAGGCTTCCTTGGCCTCTTGAATTACGCCTGCGCGGAAGCTTTCCGAGTCCGTCTCCTAGGACGCCAGACGGAGGCCGCGCCTGCGCAGTGCTGCCATTGCGCTGCGCTAAAACTCCGGCGGGTTTGGGGGTGGGGATATCTGGCTGCCGCGGGGTGGGAAAAGGAGGCGTTTCTATCGCAAGCCCCATCTTCTGCCCTTGCAATACTCCAATATTTCTTTTTTAAATAACAAGTGTACATGGTGCCCCATCTGGAAAGCTAAAGACTTTACGTACATTACTGCGCTTGATTGCTGACTTGTTTACGACCTCTCGCCATAGAAAGTGAGGTCGTGAGGTGCTTTGTGGACATTCTCAGGAGTATCTCCAAAACCTAGAACGGGACCTAGAATAGGACCTGGCACAGGGTGAGTTTTCAATAAATTTGTGTGAAAAAACGAATGATGGCCCGTCTGGTGTGGCTCAGTCGTTGAGCATGGACCTAGGATCCAGGAGATCGAAGTTGGATTCCCAGTCAGGGCACATGCCTGGGATGTGGGCTGGATCCCCAGTAGGGGGCGTGCAGGAGGCAGCCGATCAATGACTCTCTCATTGATGTTTCTCNTGGGATGTGGGCGCGATCCCCAGTAGGGGGCGTGCAGGAGGCAGCCGATCAATGACTCTCTCATTGATGTTTCTCTCTCTCTCCCTCTCCCTTCCTCTCTCTAAAATCAATAAAAACATATTTAAAAAAAAAAAAATGAATGATGCATCTATTGTCTTTCTTATTTGAACCTCTCCCCTGACCACCACTCCGCTTGGCTGTGTAATAGGCATTTCAAGTGTATCCTGTCCGAAGTTGAAAGGTTGATTTCCATCCCTCCCCCAGTACCCATCCC